TAATATAGATATACTAATCAAACTAATAGATTTCTCACAGTTCCTTTCTCACGCACGCGCTAATGTATCATACTTTCTTTGTTACAGTTGAAAAGCCCGCCACCGCCGCCAAGCGGTCACTTTGAGAACTAATACGACTCGTTCCGCTAAGCTCACAAATTTTGAAATACATCGTTGATGATTTGAAAGTTTTTTTTTTTTTTCGCAGATTTTTTTTTTTATTTTGTCTGCAGATTTTTCCGTTGCATCCGAACGTTCGTTGATGGGGTTGGTGGAGTTTCTGCAGATTATTTTGTGGTTAATTATTCTCGCTTTTTAGTTTTGACTGGACGCGCGCGCGCACGCGCGCACACACACACACACACACACACACACACACACACACACACACACACACACACACACACACACACACACACACACACACACACGCACGCACGCACGCACGCACGCATACTTGAATATTTGAATAAATAAATATCAAACATTTTTTTTTCAAATAATTGTATTTAATATTCATGTTGTTTTAATATTCATTTTTTTAAGTTACATCTTATTCATTATAGATGTGAAAAATAAATACAAGAGAATAGAAATTTTAAAAATTTATACACGTTAAGCGTTTTGAAAGTATCAGCTGAATTAAAAAGTAAAACGAACGGTAATAATAATCTGGAATAAGAATTATTACCGTTCGTTTTTACTTTTTAATTCTGAGAATTTCGAATGCATTCTAATGTATGCCAATTTTATAATATCTTCGTAAATACAAATCATACGATGATAATATTTTTACAAAAAGTTTGCTTGGGTGGTAATGACTCTGTATATACAGCGTGACCCCAAAAAATGGGAATTTTTGAAGTGCGTATTGCCAGACATGAGCAAGCGGCAACACTGCAAGACAGTGACCTTGAGCAAGTAAACATTTTGCCATTTAGAATTCAAGATGAAATTCACAGTATCCCAGCTGAGATGTTGCAGCAGTCAATGAGGAATCTCAACAGCAGATTTCAAGAATGCATTCGTACAGGAGGACGCCATCTACAGGACGTAATTTTTAAAAAATGAAAATTCCATCATTGTTTCTTAAATGGCATGTTTTAAGGTTTCAATTACTATGAATAAAATATTTTTCTTCCATAACTCTTGGATGGATTTTTCTTCCATCACTCTTGGATTGGATTGTTAAAAAGTTCCAATTTTTTGGGGTCACCCTATATATTTATTTTATCGTTAATTATTGCATTTTTTTAGTTTTAGCCAGACACACATACAACTGCCCTTTATATATATATATATATATATATATATATATATATATATATATATATAGAGAGAGAGAGAGAGAGAGAGAGAGAGTCCGTCAAAAAAATGTACACACACTTTAGGAAAGGAAAAAGTTGTCTTTCCTAGTTTAATCAAATTACAATAACACTGTTTACTGTTGTAGAATATTTTATCGACAGATTACATTATTCTTATGGATGTAGCATTAATACGTCTTAAAGGATGTTGTGTATCATAGAAAATCGGCCACATTAGGGGCCCTTGCACAAGAAATTGAAAATACATGTGCAGCAAACCCACTGCAGTGGTTGGCCGGAGAAATTAATGTCTGTAAGCTAAAGGCTATCATTTGAAGTATCTCTTGTGACTGGAGCATCCAAAGGTAACTTGTATTAATCTCGTGACGTTTGAATAAATTTAGTATTACAATATCTATATAAGCTTTTCCTTTCTTGAATTGTGTATAGATTTTTGAGGCGGACTGTATATGTGTGGGCGTGTGTTTTTGTTAAAGTTTGGACGATTTTTTAGACATGTTACCCAAATATTTTTTTTATCGTAATTCAGGTTTTGTGCTAAATTAGGCGTTTCTACGTTTCCCAAATATGTCAGTTCGACAGGAAAAACTCCCCTTCGACCCTAGATCTATCAAGATTCAACTCACCAGCCACTTAATAAACGTACAGCTTTAGTTGTTTCTTTTCTTTTTTTAAACACCACGCTGCATGCGTGAGAATATACGTGTACACTCAAAATATAAAATAAAAAAGATTTTATTAAAAAAAATAAATAAATAAAAAAATGTCTCCAAGAATTATGGTCATCATAGTGACAAAACAAGAAGCGGGAATTCACGTCGGCCAGTCCGTAATTACTCGACTCTCATTGCTGCCAAGTAACGGGCCAGAGATTTCATCCTCTGCTTTCTATCCGATGGCATCATTGTAAGAATCAAAGTATGGGTTGTAGTGGGGCAGGATGTTGGAAAAATTGGGGGTGGGGACAAAAAAACGCGTGGATAACCGGCCTATGATGTTTGTCTCACAGTGACTCATGTAATTACATTCAGATAATAATAACAATAATAGCAATAATAAAAATAATAACAATAACGATAATAATAAAAGATCAAAACTACTCGTACGGCGTTCGAAGGCGCGTACGCAGATGCATTAATCTAAAATATAAACGCGATTTTCTGTCCATTTGCTTTTCTGTCAGGAGAACTTTAACGTCCTTTGTCATCGTCGTGATATTTTGCAGCGCTGATCAATTATTATTAATATTTATTGAACTTTTTTTGGGATTAATAATACTAGTAATAATAATAATTCATTTGGCTTTTCTGGAAACAACAAAAATGACTGGATGATAAAATTAGTGAAACAACATGAAAAAACAGAAAGAAAAAAATATTCAATAATAAAAGAAGGCAGTAATAAACAACATTTACATTTAGTAATTCTTTAGTAAATCAAAACAGAAGCCAAGAACCAACTATATATGATGAAGCTAAAGCCCTTTGAAACAACGCTGGCAGACAAACCTCTGCATGGCCAATAAATTAAACCCAATGTTAAAATAATACTCATCGATGGTTACGATATTAAAGTAAACTAAGGCTTTATAAGACCAGAGTAATTTTCAGGCAAATATATATATATATATCTAATATATATATAATATAAAATCGTCACGATATATATATACAATGTGTGTGTGTGTGATCGGCCATCGCCGGTTACAGTAAATGTCACCATTCTATGGATTATACCATCCACACAGACAGAAAAATTGAAGCAACAGGCCGGACATTATTGTATTGATCATAATTGATATGGCTTAATTGTAACATAGCAACCAAGAATTTGAAAACTAAATACAAAGACCTGGAAATTGATATTTTTAATACCAGTGGTTATCTTATTTTGAAAGAATCCTGTCGAGACATACAGAAAATTGTCTTTATTAAATGTATAAGGAGAACTTTGTGAACGCTAGCAACATCGTAAAAAAAAAAAAAAATTAACACACACACACCACACACCACCAGACTTGGTAGGTAGGTAAAGAACACAATATATGATATATATATATATAATATATATATAATATAACATCAATCAGATATAAATTATATTTATATGCATTGATATATATATATATATATATATATATATATATATATATATATATATATATATATATATATATATATATATATGTGTGTATATATATGGATTTTTCTTTATCTTATTTTCCTGTCGGACTCCGATATATTTGATCTTGATGAATATGGATAGCGGTTGTATTGATGAATCGGAGAGCCGAGTTCGAATTTCAATCG